AAACTATGTTCACATAAATAAATTGTAAACATATTGTTGATATCCGAGTTAGCTCAACAGGGTTTTTATGGTTCAACGACAAGGAACCGGGAGAGGACGATCTAAGAACCCGAACTGGGATTCGAGTAGTTACGAAGTACCGAGCTGACCGGGAAGCAAAGTCAACGAGGGTGATGAACGACACGATTCTTGAGTTCGGCACCTTGACGGTTCAATGGCGAGGCCGACCTTCGTAGACGTCGAGCAGAGAAATGGGATCCCAGAGATCAAAGGATAAAATAACGACAAAAGTCCGACCTGAAGATTCCACGAGACCGACTTCTGAATAGGGGCAGGACCAGGAATTTATAATATATTGTCACTTGACATTTAATAATTGCGATGGAACGCGCTACCCTAGTCTACCACCCTATGACATCTAGCTCGGCATAAAGGCCTGTTAACATTAAATGCCCCCACATGTGTGCATTTAATGCCTGGCAGGTAATCATTGAAGGTACTTAAATCGCATTTAATGTCTGTCAGAGCAGCACCCCTGTCCTTCAGAGTTATTGTACGACTGTACATGATGAACAGTGCATGAACAGTGCTAGATTTAAAGATACTATAAATAGGCAGCACATTTCAGTTATTATAGGTTGTTGAGATCCTCACAAATTATTTCTCTCTCTCCACAATTACCCCTCAGATTTGTAATAATCCCCGTAAACGCTACAAGAGTAACAAAAGTACCAACCTCGATATCAAAGGTCGACCTCGTGATAAATATAAAAGCCTAATTTTCCCGTATATCCCTCTTAGTCCTTATCCTTATCATTATTAAATCTTATTTTTTTCTGTAAATCCTTATGTTTATCATTATTAAATCTTTATTTAGTCGTGATCGGATCCTACCATCAACACATACACTTGAAACATGAATCTCATCCAAAATGGAATCGTTCGTAACACAAAGCTGAGCTTCTACAATATATCCTAACAATCTTCCACGTATACTTTAAAGGTTCCAGCTATACTAAGTAAAATTTATGTCAATCTTTAGTGGTGTTATCTATCAGTACCTGATGTGTACATACGAGCACCATTGATCATGTATCCAACTCTTTGCAGGGGTTCCAAGAAACCATGTGACTTAGAGATGACGAGATTACCTTCTACATGGGCGAAGCAAAAAAAAAAAAAAAGCGGCAACAATTACAGTGAGAGACGTTTTTTTATGCTTTGATATAGATAAGTGTTTTGTTCTTATAATATGCCCTTTATGTTATGCTGTTCAGAAATAACATTTTTCAACTTCTAAGCTTTTGATGGATGGATATTTTGCTTCATTTGATAATGAAGTTGTTATTTCGCAAGACAAACATTTTATATGTTCTGGTTCATTAGTAGGAATTTTGTATGTTCTAAACCAGACATTCCTATAATGCAACAGTCAAAACTAAATAGCGCATTGACTAAAGCTAATAAGAGATGATCCTTCGAAAATGAATCAAACATATCATTGGCACCTTAGGCTTGGTCACATTAACCTTAGAAAGATTCAAAGGTTGATAGCTAATGGACAATTCGACCGTTAGAAGTGGATGACTATCCGACCTGCGAGTCCTGCCTGGAAGATAAAATGACCATACGACCGTTCACGACCAAGGGGCATATGTATGAGAGTGTGCTAGAAATTCATTCCAATTTTGAATGGTTTGAAAAATTCAAGGAGTATCATGCAGTTGTGGAGAAACATCACGGTAAGAGTATCAAGTCACTTCGATCAAATCGAAATGACGAATACCTCTTGGGAGAGATTAGGAATCATTCATCGGAGGCTGGGATTGAGTCCCATTATTCTGCACCTGGTATGCCCCAACAGAACATGGTGGCAGAACAAATGAACATGACTCCTATGGAGATGGTTAGGCCGATGATGAGTTTGCAGACTTATTGAGCTTATTTTGGGGGCTGACTCTAGAAACAACAGAGTACATCTTAAATTTAGTTCCATAAAAATTAGTTGTCACTACTCTGAGTGGATTATAGCATAGGCACAAGCCCAATTTGTCACATATTCAAATTTGGGGTAGTCTACACATATGTCGAGGCAAGATACTAATAAGCTGGAAAAGCATTTGAAAGTATGGTTATTTGTGGAGTGTTCTAAGGGGATAAGAGGTGGCATGTTTTACAGTCCCAAGGATCAAAAGGGTGATCATTAGCACTGCGTTAGATACTTGGAAAAAGACTATATTTTAAACCTCAAATGAGTAGACTTGTCTTAGAGGAGGTGAAGAGCGTGGTCGCATCTTCAATACCAAGTGCACAAGCTGATATACCACATAATACTGCAACACGTGTCACCAAGGATGCACTCGTGTGTTGGGGGTTCTATGATGAATGTTGAATTTATGCAAGTCACGATTTGTATACAAAAATAAACCCAAGCACAACGGAACTTAGCAAGGATTGAACATTACTGTTTAAACTTGTGTAGACTTTGAGCTGAATACACAACCTACGACACCGAATGAATGATTTTGAGATGATCTTTTTGTTGGGTTTGGTGAAGAATGTTGGATGATCATGTTTTGAATCAATTGAGAATCTAAGAAAAGAAGTCTATGCGCAGTGTAACTAGAAATCAGATTCGAAGCTTATCGTTTAAAATTCGTAAGGTATACAGTAAAAGCTCTAATTTCAGTTTCCGACAATACAATTTTGTGCGTTTGCAATTTATTTATTTATGCACACATAGTTCATTTATTTCACATTATATATAATATGGTTCGATATGTCGAACAGAAAAAATACATTATTGGTGCAGTGTAAAATATAAATATTTGTTTATACCTGCAAAATAAATGAATCATAAATCCATAATAAAATAGTCATAACAACAAGGAAATAGTATAAAGGACAACTTCCCTTGCTTATCTCAAAGATTTCCTTATTGCCATCGACTTCATGATATACTCTGGGATTTTCAATTTAATTACAAATAATCATATTATTACACTACACTTTGGTTTTTGATAACCATATTGTCAAGTATCAAATGGAAAATAAAATATTATCCTTTCTGAAATCCCAAATAATCACGTTATTACATAACACCTTGGTTTTTGATAACCATATTGTCAAGTATCAAATGAAAAAAAAAATATAAAAAGAAATATTATCCTTTCTGAAATCTCATATCATACGTCTGATCAATCAATTAATTCTTTTATAGTCTAAAAATCATTTTTAAAATTTCAGATTTCTAGAAATGATTTTTGATCGTAAGAATAATTGTCATAATACAATTATTATTTCAATCTTCCATAAAAACGACTATAGAAGACTATTTACTAACCTTACCACTTATTTATTTGTGCATATTACATTATCAGTTTTGCTATATAGCCATCGGACCACAATTGTTCACTCCTACTGTATTGACATGTGTCCTACAACAAATACACATTAGACACGTGTCAATACATCAAGTTATGGATGACTCCATATAATTTCCGACTACATTATATATTTTTCAATTGATCCCCACCCACACACACCTTTGTTATTTACACGCACTTACATGTACGTGTTTGTGTGTAATTCTATTCTACATAAATAGTAGATACATATATATTGAACAAAGAGGGTGGAAGTATAGGGAAATGATTTTTTTAATTTTAATGCATTAAAAAGGCCATCCACTAAAGGCGTCTTAATTTTAATCCTGTGGTTTTCAATCATCACTTGGCACCGTACAGAGACTCTCTCGAGAGTTGGTTTTCGCGTTTCTCTCTCCACATCGCTACCTTTTTTTCTTGATAAAATCTCTGTAAGTTTCTGGTTTTCTGCCTTTCTCCTTTGGTTTTCTTTGCCATATGATCTCTAAACCCTATCCGCACGCCACATTTTCGGTTTGCATTAGGTTTGTGTGTGCGTGTTTGTACGTGTTAATTGTTCTTGTTTGGTGGAAAATGTATTCAAACGATATGCTTCAATGTGGATGTTTTTGGGCGCGCATTCTCTGGTATTTCTGTATCCGTGTTAGGATTGTTAATGTTCCTGTGTTTCTGATCTGAATGTCCCGACGGATTGAACATGTACACAGTATTATTATGCTTTGGGCTTCTTGCAAATGACATTGTACTTCACGTTAGGGTTTGCTTTTGTTATTTTATGCGGTTTTTTCAGGGCGCAGGCAGGGGGAGCTGTATTTTGCATGCTTTTATGTGGGCGTGGGTTTAATTTGGGCGCAGTTTTTATTTTTAATTTTGCATTTTTTATTTTTATTTAGCTGATTTAATTAATGTTGTTCGTTGAATAAATAATTGAATAGATGATTTTAGCTTTTAGTTTGTTTATTCTGTTGTTTCTCCATTGTTGCAGCATTTTTATTAGGGCGAAAAGGTAATGATGAGTAATGAAGAAGAGAAGAGATGTCCGCTCTGTGCGGAGGAGATGGATTGGACGGACCAGCAGTTCAGGCCTTGCAAATGCGGCTATCAGGTGTTGTTATATTGCATGAAATTACTCTTGGGGCAGAAATGCTGTCGTTTGTGTGGATAAATTTTAATCTGGAACTTGGACAATTCATCTTCTTTAACCTTGTCACTTTGGCATTTTGCGATATGCTAGAAAAAAACAAATATTGAATGATGACGAGTCTGTTGAACCACACACAACCATGCACATAAGTTTTATAAAGTTGTATTTATGTTTTTGCCCTTTTGTCGTTCTTCGTTTTCCTTATTCGTACTCATAATCATGCTCACACGTGTGGAGCTGATATTCCCGGTATTTACTGTTTCACATGATTTTCCGTGACCTGTTGCCAATATTTCCAATGTTGGAATGGGGCTGTAACAGAGTTCGTATATGTTTGTCGTTTTGTCATTGTAGATTCGTTACTTACTTTTATGTATTTACAATGTATTAATTTTATTACTAGAGTGTTTTTACACGTAATCTGTAACTATGTTTGCATTTGCAAATTTATTCCCTTCAGCAAGGTGACTACTTTGCTCTGCAGCAATTCACTTGTAGTTTCACCCTGTTTTTCTTTGATTTGTTTGCTTCAGTTGTGACTTCACTGAGACTGATCATTTTTTTTTTTCCTATTGTGATGTTTTAGTATAAGACATTGGGTAGTCTTATTTCATGTGTACAGGATTTGTTTTTGAATATCCTAGGTTGCACTTTATACTTCATATGCATCATTAAGTGTGATGAGCTGTATAAAAATGTTAAGAAACTTGTTGCGAAGCCTGAGCCTGAGCTTGCTTTTGTTTATGTTACAGATTTGTGTTTGGTGTTGGCATCACCTAATAGACATGGCAGAGAAAGATGAGATGGAGGGGCGGTGCCCTGCATGTCGGACAATATATGAAAAGGAAAAAATTATTTCAATGCAAGCAAATTGCGAAAGGTTGTAATGTTTCTTTATATTTTTCCCCGTTTCTGTATAATATTAAATGATCTGATTTTAATGGTTGGGCGCTATTTTTTAATTACATAGGACAACGACGAAAATCTCTAGTAGGAAAGCTAAATTACCAAAGGCCAAGCCAAAGGTTAATGAAGTAAAGAAGGATTTGACAAATGTAAGAGTGATTCAACGAAAGATGGCGTATGTGATCGGACTACCTCTTAGACTAGCGGATGAAGCTGTAAGGAGTTCGTTTAGATGTTTAGTGGTTTTCATGTATCTTATTTCTTTTCTAAATGTGTTAGTTTTACATTATGATATTTGGTTTCCAATTTGTTCGCTTTAGTTTCTTCTGTCCTTAAGGAGTACATTAGATTATGATATTTGGTATTCAATTTGTTTCCCGAAAAGGTATTGCTGCGGAAAGAGTATTTTGGTCAGTATGGGAAAGTGACTAAGGTTTCTCTCTCACGAACCGCTGGTGGGGCAATTCAACATTTTGTCAATGACTCATGCAGCGTGTGAGTTTTAAATTGTCTTCTGTGTTCTTATGTTTGATCTTTGGTAATTGTACATATAAGCTTGCCTGTGTTTGGTTATAATGCCTCCAACACTTTTATGACCTGGTTCAGTTCAATGAAATTATTTTTGTAACTGGTAGGCGATATCTGTTGTACTTGTTATGTTCATGCATTATCCTTGTGTTATGGGAATGTGAATGCTGGCATTCTCCTGATTTGAGTTGAAATTCAACTTATGACATACCTAAAGATCACTTCAAAGAACAAATATATATTCTCATTTTGTGTTATTTCTCAAATTTTGAGCTTTAAGCAAGATCTGGCATCTGGGGATCTTTTTTTACTTGGTTGTGCAAAAGTTTATTGCTGAAGAATCTAGCCTTTTTTTGCCTTTTGGACCCAGATACCTCGTCCGATATACAGGTTCATTGAGCTTCACCAATTTGATTCTCTCGCCCATTTTCACAAACCAACGTCTGAGATTGTTTTATCCATTGCAAATGGAGCAAATGGAGCTGGAAGAGTCATTGTTGACAATTTTCCTGGCATAATGCTAATAATGGACTAGATCAAAATGACTCAATTAAATTCTAGTGCTTCTTTTATTAGTGAAGTTTCTAGAAAAAAATATATCAAACGACGCAATGCACCTTGGGTCGCTACGGAAACAGCCTCCTTGTATAATTACAAGGGTAAGGTCTGCGTACAACTGACCCCCCAGACCCCAACCAGTTGGGATTATACTGGGTATGTTGTTGTTGTTGTAACGTTTGAGATTGTTCATCTAGTTAATCATCCACGGAAATTAGATAAAAGTGATTCATAAAGTAAGAAAATGCTCCTACTTTGATGTTGCTTAAGCCCTGCAGTGTAACATTTTGGCAAGAAATTGTGGGATTTTTAGATCTAGGAATTAATAGAACTATGTATGAATCCATTAACCTGCACACATGCTTGACATGTGTCATTGCAACTTTCTTCACTAGGCAATATTTCATGTCTGTACGCCAATTTTTCACTTGCATTTCATTTAGTACTTGTTTCCTGCTATAGTGCTTGTTTCATTTATATATTTTTCTATGATCTTCATTATGTCATGTTCTAGATACATCACATACTCAAAAGAAGAGGAGGCCTTACGATGTATTCAATCAGTTCATGGTTTTGTTCTGGAAGGTAGATCTTTGAGGTAAGCACATCTTCCCCTGTTTCATTCGTTCGTCATAATCATACACTTCAGATTTTGTGGAATTACCTGTGCAGGGCATCATTCGGAACTGCAAAGTATTGCCATGCTTGGCTGAAAAATACGGTATAGATACAATACTCTTTGTGATTACTTGTTTGTATATAAGTTGGATCCTGAAAGAAATTTCTTGTTGTACAGTATGAATTGAATGAAAATCTTTTCAGAGTTCTTTCTTATTTCATTTCAGCTTTGCAACAATCCTGCTTGTTTGTACTTGCATGCTATTGGGTCTGATGAAGATAGTTTTGGGAAAGACGAGGTCGCTGCGGTTCATACGAGGTATCTTATGATCTTTTGGATTTCACGTGCTATCTTTTAGTTTTTCCTGTATTTGACCAGTTCCTTCTAAAAGGAAAATGGAGAGTTTTTCTATATCCTGATAAATAATTGGTGTTATGATGACTAGATAGCTGCTTTAGGAAAACTTGTGGTGAATTTCTATGTTTACATGCTTTCTAGTTATTGACATTATTGTCTTGAACATTAAATCACCAGATTCATTTTTAGATAAGTTTGTTTCAATATTTTTCATCCTTTTTCACTTCAACACGTAATTAAGATGGGAATTATACTTTATCCATGTTGTCTTGAACATCAAATCACCAGATTCATTTGAAGATGAGTTTGTTTCATTATTTTTAATCCTTCTTCACTTCAACATGTGTTTAAGATGGGAATTATACTTAATCAATGTTATCTTGAAAATCGAATCACTAGATTCGTTTGTAGATAATTTTATTTCATTTTTTTTCCTTATATTCACTTCAACATGTGTTTCAGATGGGAATTATACTTTATCAATGGATTAGAAGATATAGGATGTATTATCTTTGTCTCTTGTGGATTCTGTTAGTCTGTTTTTTGGTCTTTTAAAAATGTTACATATATTGTCTTCGGGATGAAATTGGAAAAACTACACTGGATTCGGATATGAACGTGTACATATATTTTCTTGAATACATGGTATTTATGGATCATTGGTGGTTGCTTTATTTTAAGTAGTATATGTATCTGGCTCTACGGTATAATTTGATGAAAGATTGTATACTGGTTTAGTAACTTGTTAAGATTTTACGATCCATTAACCCTTCGCTTTTCTTGTGGTTGTGTGGTTCTTTAGGAGTCGAGTTCAACAAATTGTTGGTGCTACAAATGGTATTGTAAAGCGTTCTGGCAATGTGTTGCCTCCTGCTGATGTAGCCTACAATAGTAGCAGCACTTTTACTGACAAACGTACCATAAGAAGTGGCGTATCAGTAAGCAACTTTTTTTTCTTTTTTCTTTTTCTTTTTTTTTTCCTTTTTAGTACAAATTATCACATGATTCTAAGATTGATGAACTTGGTCTCTATCGATTGATACCATTTTTTTCTTTTGATAACTCAGACAAAATTCATATACGCAGCATCATTTGTTTTTTTCTTTTCCCCTTTTTGTGGTGTTCCTTTTTTTGCGGAAATATCATCATTGTATCTGTTCCAATTGCCAGGATGCAACTCCATTTTTTTCTTGATAACTCGACAAAATTCATATACGCAGCATCATTTTTTTTTTCTTTTCCCCTTTTTGTGGTGTTCCTTTTTTTGCGGAAATATCATCATTGTATCTGTTCCAATTCCCAGGATGCAACTCATGATTCTCCAAGCAGCACAGGCGATGTAACTTTTGCGCTAACCTCTGAAGAGAAGGAAGGAGCAAATGCAGCTCCTCACAAAACTACGACTTTTCTAGATGTTGTTGGACAGTCTAATTGTGCTTCTCTTCAGAAGGACAGTAATATGCCCGATGATAGGAGGATTGTGAACCTATGTTCTGAATTATCTTCAGTGACGATTAATGGAGATACACGAGCAGGAGAGTCATATTCGTTTCCTACAATGTGTAAAATGCCGTGTTCTAATCAAAATGGAAGTGGGGTGTTTGGTAATATTCCTGATGACTCCGTATTCTTATCTGATGATCAGGGATCCAATGACAGCCATAGGGCTTTTTTTGGTCACCTATCATATCCTGCAATTATTTTAGAGGATTCAAGTGGTCCGACATTTCTTCATGAAAAGATTCACAGTGTGAATGGTTTTACTGTGGACCACAATCCTGTACATAATCATGAGACGGAGGCTGCGTTACCTATCAGATGCGTAGATTCTGTATTAACCGATTCATGCCAGGAGACGAAGTTTCAGAATTCTGCTAAATCTGATAGAATTTACAGAAATTCTAATTCATTTTCAAATGAAGAAATAGTTGAGCACTTGCGAAGAATAGATGATGGTGACCTGAATAATGACAAGGATAGTTCTACTTTAGATGCAGTGGAAAGCAGTATAATTTCAAATATCATGTCTATAGGGTTGGATTCATGTGAAGATTCTTTGACAATATCTAAAGGTCTATCTGAATTTCTTGATGAAACTGATGGGTTAGGCGGTTCATCCTGGAGTTCTCTAAATAGTGATCAATCAGGGTACTCATTTATTAAGCACGAGGGCTTTGCAAATCAAATGGCTGGGTCTGTTCTTCCAGAGCATGGGGATAACAAAGAGCAATACTTTTGTAAGCCTCAGTTTCCAGGTAAAATTGTATTATATTTTGGGTTTTGACCTTTTCTTTTGTAATTACAAAATAGCCAGAAAAAAGGAAAACCCTCTCAGGATTTTAAATTGCAATAACTAGTATTTTTTGTTGCACAAATTGCAACTTCAATAGGGGCTAGTTGGTAAGATATCAAATCTGACGGTGTTTATGATATTACTATCATGACTGTGTATTTGTAATTTTATACATAACTGGTATTTGAAGCTCATCCTTTAAGGGGTATTTCTGTGAACAATTTTTTATTTTACTTATGTATATGCGCATACGATATAAACTATTCTGAGATGTGCTTCATCAAGGAGAAAATTCATTTCTGATTTGCTCCTGCTAAATCTCAATCATTTTGAGAATTCTTACAAAGTGTACTTCTTATATCTTCCTATAGTTTGTAGGTCTCAAAGTTTGGCCCCACCTGGGTTCTCGGTGCCTGCAAGGGATCCACCTCCCGGGTTTTCATCAAGTGGTAGAATGGCCTCATCTGGTTCGTACCTCTACCCAATCCTTTCACGGTTATATTCTCTTTTTAAGTGTTTGCCTGAAGTGATTCTCGACACCTTTTCTTTTGCATATTTTACGGATAAAAAAAAAAAAGGAAGTGATTCTCAACTTCTATGATATATGAAATTATTTTCCTCCTAGAAGCCAATTTTTTTTTTTTTTTTTCTTCCTTCATTTCCTCCTAATAATGTTATCAAACATTCCTTTTTTTTATTATTATTTTTTAAAACATTCCCTTATCATTACTTTTGACTTGAGTATAAATTTTCTTCTGCTCTTTTGTAGGTGCTGGTTTGGTCAACAGTTCCACTTTCCCCAACACTTTTATCCAAACATCTTCAACTCGGGCCAACAGCAGCGTGGACGAAATCGGACTTTTCGAACATTCCTTATCAAACTCCAACCAGAGCAAACTTGCAAATGGGTTCAAAAGCCCGAGCATTGAGACCAGGCCCGCCAGTAATCACAACCCATGCCCGGGAGCATTCCATGATGATTCTCGACTCTGGCACCTGATGCAGCAGCCGGGACCCACACATCAAAACTCAAAAGTTTCCCAAATGTTCCTGTCCCAAAATCAGCAAGAACTGAGCTATAAAGGCCACAAGTCAACAAATGGGTTATCTGGGCTGGATACTGGCATGTATGGATTATCTCACCAAGGCAACGATCATTCCTTCTTTAGTCAGTCAAACTTTGCAAATGGTCACAATAATATTTCCAATATGAACAACGGGTACAGACTTAATAGCTTGGATGCTGTCCAGCATAATAAAGGTGAGGTGGCGGGCATGACAGAACTTCAGAGAAACGAGAGATTAGGTGTCGGTTACTTTCAAGGGTATGGGGGTTTGAGGTTTAATTCAGGTGATGTATATACTGGGGTGTTTGGGTTGTAGTTCTTATGTTTTACTCACCGACTTTGTTTAGGAGAATGGAACTCTTTTCCTTCATCAAACTCATGGGGAATATGTTTAGTTTGAGTAGATGGAAATGTTTGGAATTTGTCGATCAATCGTGGTCTGGTTTATGTTGTCATTCTAAGGTTGATGATTGCTAATGGTAATTGGTAGGCATGTGAGGTAAATGCCTAAAGTTGCATTTTAGGGTTATTACAAAAATATCCGCAAGGTTTGGCATATTTGCAAATCAGTTCAACTTTCTTATAAATTTACTAAAGTACTTTTTTTTTTAGTATTAGAAAGAAATATCACCCTAAAGACAAGGTAGACTTGTAAATAAATCAAATTTTTTTGATTCGATTCCCTCGAATTCGATATTCGCGATTTGAATTTAAAATATTCGAATTTTAATACGAATAATGTTTTATATTCGAAAGTTAAACGAATTCGAATTTGAATTTGTAGATGTTCGATTCTTTAACAATAATTATTTAAATTTAATAAATTATATATAGTATACATTTTGTTTATAATATATATGTATATATATATTGTTATATTTATAATATTTTTATGACATAAAAGTAAAAATATCCTAAATTAATACATTTCCCTAAAAATATATGAAAAAATAAAAAAATATTTTTCTAATTATAATATTTTTTAATTATAATAGTTTTTTTGAAAACAAATTTCAGATCAAATCGAATATATCCGAATATTCTAAACGAATCGAATACGAATAAAAAAAGGAGTTCGCTAATGAATCGAATACGAATTCGAATCCTCGAATATTTTAACGAATTTGAATCAAATATCTTAGTATTCGTTTTGATTCGATTCGTTTACAACCCTGGTCCAAGGGGTGGTTTAAAAGTTTATACAACATTTTAGGGATGTGTGACACTTCAAAGTGGTCATCGTAGACATGGCCAAAAGGCAGGGCGAAGGGTTGAGTTACATGGACGCTGAAATGGCACGGACCTAGGCCGTGCCGGGTTCCCGGCCCGCCGGGCAGGTCCGGGCCCGCCCAAATAATAAAAAAAATATAAAAACAATGTGCTTTTCCGTGCCGGTTTGGACCCGGCTCGGCCCGCCGAGCCAGGGTCGACAAAGACAAAGCCCTGGACCAGCCCAGTTGAAATCTGAGCCGGGCCCGAACCCGTGGTCAACGGGTTTGACCGAGCATGGTTTGGGCCGGGCCGACGGGCCAGGTGGCCCGTGGCCATTCTAGGTCATCCTGATCCTCAAAGAATATTCGTATGTCAAGAATTTTTTTTACTGTATTATGATACTAGTACGAATCCCGTGCGATGCACGGGTAAAAGATATTCATTAATATTTATAATTAAAAATATAGAATCAATATGTAATACAGTTTACCTATATTCTTTTATTAAAAATGTTATATGAATTTTAAAATTGTGAAAAATTACATAAAACATGTCTATTTAAAATTAGTACACAACTCATATAGTGCACGTAACTGATAATAAATTCATTATTTTCATTTCAAAATAAAAGTCATTTTAAAATTGTGATGATCAGGAGATTCGCCAACGCCATGCCAGGGAATTCTTTATCTATCGTTTTTATTCATAAATTCGAGTTGACTACAATTTGACTCCATAAAATAAGTATTTTGGTAAAATTTTATCATATATTTTAAAATATATGTGAATAATAAATGTACATATAAAAATTATATATTTAATTAATTATAATAAAATTATTTTTGTACAAAATATTCAAATAAAAAAAATTAAGTAGTTGAATAATTTATTAAACTATAAATAATTGAATATCCATTTACGTCCAAATTAATATTGACCCGTAAGTTATGAATAATTATTTATTTGTCTTTTAATTTTATAACCCAAATTTGGCCAACACAATAATTCTATATATTTCACACACACACACACACACACACACACACACACACCCACACACACACACAAATACACACATATTTGTATTCAGTTATCTTAGCGTTCAAATTTATCAACTAATTCTTCATAATTAAATTATAAATTTAAATTGTATTAACCAATATTTCTTCAAATGTCTTTCTAATTTCAAGAAGAGTACACACCAATTTGCCAAATTACCATCGATATGTTATGGTAAATTATTTTGGGAATATGCTAAAAATTAAGATTCATATCGATCACCTTAATTTTGTAACAAATCAAATTAAAAATCGAGTTCCATAATCATATCAAATAAAACTTATACAATTTATTTTGTTTTTAAAATAAATAAATCGGCCATTTCATATTAAAATAA